CAGCATCTGCAGTTCCTACTATCTCTAATGTAAATGCTTGACCCTGCTTTTGTCAATTTCAAACTTGCCTGTACTACGGCTCTCCTAACTGGCCATCTGTCCTCCTTGCTTGCTTACTACTGCCTGTATCTTGCATAAAGGTGGACTTGTCCTTCATAAGAATGCTTCCAAGTTAAAATTCTAAACTTTAACCCCTCCTTGGTTCCTCCCCTCTATCTTTCATTTGATTTGTCATTGTCACATGCACTGAGATACAGTGAAAAGTATTGTTTTGCGTGCTATCCAGGCAAGCCATACCTTTCATAAGTTCTTCAGCATAATAGAACAAGAGTACAGAATATAGTGCTAGTGCTACAGCTACAGAGAAGGTGCAGAGAAAGATCAACTTTAATATGAGAGGTCTGTTCAAAAATCTGTTAACGGCAGGGAAGAAGCTGTTCTTAAATCTGTTGGTACGTGTTTTCAAACTTTTGTAACTTCTGCCTGCCCAGTGGAAGACAATATAACTGGGATGGGAGATGCCTTTGATTCTGTTGGCTGCTTTCCTGAGGCAATGGGAAATGTAAGTGGAGTCAGTGGATCGAAGGCTGGTTTTCGTGATGGCATAGGCTGCGTTCACAGCAGTTGCCCTAGCAAGCTATGATGCACCTGGATATGATGCATCTATAAAAATTGATAGTCCTTGTTGACGTGTTGAACTTCCTTCCCTTTCTGAGGAAGTAGAGGTGTTGGTGTGCTTTCTTGACCATAGCATTGACATGGATGGACCAGGACAGATTGTTGATATTCATTCCTAGTACCATTGGTACAGGTGGGGGCATGTCCTCCACTCTGCTTCCTGAAGCCGATGACCAAATCCTTCGTTTTGCTGATATTGAGGGAGAGATTATTGTCGTTACACATGCCACTAAGCTCTCAATCTCTCTTCTCTACTGTATCATCTTGTTTAAGATTTGGCCCACTATGTGTCATCAGCAAACTTATAAATGGAAGTTCATCATCTGCGCTGCAACTATTCCCTATCATTGAATGTTAAACATTCTTTTCTCACCCGAACCTCTTGTGCATCTTGTTCCTGCTGCTAAGTTCCTATTTCTTTAATTTGTCTAACAGAAGTCTCTACTAGTCCCGCTAAAATCCAACCCCTTGATCTGGGATACTTCCATGAGGGTCTTTGAATCAGACAATACTTTCATTTTTGTAGCTGTAGTCTTTTGGGAATGATGCCAGTTTTTTTATTCTTTGCATCTGTACAGTGAAATAGTGAAACTATACAATTTTTAGTTTTGAAGTGGAATTCTCAATTAAAACTGCAGCATCTCATGAATTTGAGTGAGTGTTCAACATCTGTAGATCATTAGTAAAACTTCACAAATTTCTTCATTGTCTGGGGCATTGCAGGAACGGTTTTCTGTAGTAAATTACCTGGAGGTTTAGTATGTTTTAAGAAGCCTTTAGCGTGCTGTAAGTGTTATTGTGAAAATTCTTCAACATTTGCTTCTCAACCACGGATTAGATTGGTCCAGTAGTCTCAGCAGCCTGCACAGACACTTTTGGTACCCTTCATTTTAAAATAACCTTGACAGAATTATTTCAGATTGTTTTTGATGAATGCCACAAAGCTAAAAACTTGTCTCCAGTTGGTTCCTCAAAACCCACCAAAACAGGTTTGGCTGTGCTGGAATTACAGAACAAATTGCCAAAGGCGAGGGTGGTGTATGCTAGTGCTACAGGTATGCAGTTTCATTATGGCTTATTGACGAAGGAGTGATCGAGTGTAGCACATAAACAGGAATAGGCCATTATGTCCATTGAGCCACTGTACCTTTCCTTTAAATCATGACTGACTATGTTCCTCAGTGTCACTTGCTAACACTATCTCAAGACCATTTGTTGTCATTAATTTCCAAAAATCTAATTAGCTCCTGATTTGAGTTTGCTTAATGTTTGAGCTTCCACAATTCTCTGGGTAAAGTATTCCCAAGATTCATCACCTTCTGAGGAGTTGACATGATTAAATTGTTTTTTAAAGGGGCCAAGGGCACTCCGGCAAAAGTTAAATAAAGTCAATGGCTTGAAGATGGGTATTAGAGGAATAGATTTCAGTTCCTGGGGCACTGGCATGAGCGCAAGTGTAGAAAGGACCTGTTCCAGTGGGATGGATTTTTTAAAACTTAAAAGATTGCCAAAAAAGTTAGAAAATAAACTGAGGGTGAATGAGCAAGTAGTATCAAATGGGCAGTAAGAGTTTCATCAGATATACAAAAATGAAGAGAGGCTAAAACAAACATGGGCCCCTTGAATATTGGCGTTAAAGAAATAGTAATGGAGAACCAGGAAATGTCAAAGGGTCTGAAAAAATATTTTGCAGGTCTTTAGAGTAGAAGGCACTAGTAGCATTCTAAAAATTAAATAATCAAGGATCAATAAAGAAGAAATAAGTACAATAACTATCAGGAGAAGAAAAGTACTGGGGAAACTAATGGGGCTCAAGACAAGACCCCTGGACCTAATTGATTATATCAGAGGATATTAATGGAAGTAGATCTTGCCTCAGTGCCAGTAACCCAGATCCGATTCCAGCCTCGGGCAACTGTCTGTGTGGAGTTTGCGCGTTCTCCCCATGTCTGTGTGGGTTTCCTTCGGGTGCTCCGGTTTCCTCCCACAGTCCAAAGATGTGCAGGTTGGGTGGATTGGCGGTGCTAAATTGCCCATAGCGTCCAGGGATGTGTAGGTTGGGTGGGTTAGCCATGGGGAATACAGGGTTACTGGGATAGGGTAGTGGGTCTAGTTAGGATGCTGTTCGGAGGGTTGGTATGGCCACGATGGACCAAATGCCCTGCTTCCACCCTATAGGGATTCTATGGATTCTGTAATCTTGGAGAACCCCCAGAGGATGGGAAAACTGCCATTGTAGCACCATTATTCCAAAAGAGAGGGAGTCAAATGGAACTGTTAGCCGCTTAGCTCAATATCTGTCTTTGGGAAAGTGTTAGAGTCAATTAGAAAGGATGTAAGAGTGTTTAGAAATATGTATGGCTTGTGAACAGTAGAGTATAAGGTTATGGGAATGGGTAGCTAAAAGGATTGCAATGTTCAATTAGCCAAGATTGTATTGAATAGTGGGACAGGTGTGATGAGCTGAATAGTCTACTCCTTGTCCTCTGTTCCTAAGTAGAGTAAGCATGGCTTCATGGAGGGGAAATCATGCCTGATAACTTCAGTAGAATTCATTGAGGTAACAAGATAAAAGCGAAGTAATATATATGAATTTCCAGAAGGTGTCTGGTAAGATAACATGCTCAAGCTACTTAAAAGCCTGGTGTTGAGAGAGAGAGGACTGGCCGACTAATAGAGAGTTGTTAAAGGGGGCATTTTTGGGATGGCAAACTGTAACTGGTTGAATGTCGCAGGGATCTGTACAATTATATTGTGGACCTGATCACCATAATCAAAATGAATGGTGGAGCATGCTCAAAGGGCTGAATGGTTTACTCTTCAAATTTTCTGTTTTTCTGTACAACTTTAGAGTGGACCAGGATGATCCCTTCAGAATACTGAAAGCAGAGGGGAAAATGTCATTTGGTGGCTTCATAGTAGAGGTGGTGGAAGTAGCAGAGGATGATTGATTGAATAGAGAGAGTGGGAGGAGTTCTTCAGTTGAGGAACAAGGAAGATGCGTCAGAAGCACTAGTATGGGAGAACACGTCACCAGAATAGATGTGAAGGAGCCTGGGAGAATAGAATAAAGAACTTGCAGGGTGACAGACAGTGTAATCAAGGAAGCTGAGGGGATTGAGTTTATAGCGCATGATGGAGACAAAAGTTGTAGAAAAGATGAATCTGAGGTGAGGTAAGTGTGGAAATTGGAAGCAAAATTAAAATAGCTGGAAGTCCTTTGATATTTCATTGAGCTGCGTAATGTTAGTTAATAAAGGGGTCCTCTCGGCTACGACCTTCTCAGTACAAGTGCTAAGACAGGACTGTTAGAGTTTTTAATCTCCATGATTTCATGCTGAAGGATTGATTAATGGTAGTCAATTAATAATATAGTTCATTGTTTTGTTGGTTTAAGTTGAGTCATTTGAACAGTGTTCTTCTGTTGGACTTGAGTAAACTGTTATCCTTCAAAATAGGTGCATCGGAACCACGAAACATGGCTTATATGAATCGACTTGGAATCTGGGGTGAAGGTACACCCTTCAAAGAATTCAATGATTTTATTCAAGCTGTGGAAAGGAGGTAAAAAATAAACTCCACTGTCAGATTATTTAAACCATTCCCAATTTCATATTTGTGTGTTTGTTGTGATGGATTCTGGGGTCTGTTCTCCAGTGAGTACAAGAAATTGACCATTAATGTTGCAGTATCATTTTAAAATCAGTTAATTCATTTGCCTTCTTGAGAGAAGGAAAGCTTACCTGATTAATTTGTATTACTCTCACGGGAATGGACAAATGATAAATAGTGTCTTGTCAGTGTTGTTCATATTCCAAGAACAAATTTAAAAAAAACTGAACCAAACACTATTGTTGCATAACTTGCAAAGCAAGCTTTGCTAAATTATGACTTCTCCCTGATACAGAAACAGTTAGAATTTTCTCTTTAATTTTTATTGCGGTGTTGAGAGTTATACAGCATGGAAACAGACCCTTTGGTCAACTCGCCCATTCTGACCAGATATCCCAAATTAATCTAGTCCTATTTGTCAGCATTTGGCCCATATCCCTCTAACCCTTCTTATTTATGTATCCATCCAGATGCCTTTTAAATGTTGTTGCAGCCTCCACCACTTCCTCTGGCAGCTAATTTCATTCACGTGCAACTCTGTGTGGAAAAAGTTGCCCTTTAATCTCTCTTAAATCTTAGCCCTCTTAACTTAAACCTATGCCCTCTAGTTTTGGACTCCTCTATCTTGGGGAAAAGACCTTGTCTACTTGCCCTATCTATGCCCTTCATGATTTTATAAACTTCTGTTAAGGTCACCTGTCACCCTCTGATGCTCTAGTGAAAATAGCCCCAGTCTTTTGAGCCTCTCCCTCTAGCTCAAACCATCCAGCCCTGGCAACATCCTTGTAAATCTTTTCTGAGCCCTTTCAACTTTCGCAACATCTTTCCTATAGTAGTGAGACCAGAATTGAATGCAGTATTCCAAAGGTGGCCTATGCGATGTCCTGCATAACCAACATGACCTCCCAACTCCTATACTCAATGCACTGACCAATAAAGGCAAGCGTACCTAACACCGCCCTTGTGATCCTGTTTACTTGGAACTCTACTTTCAAGGAACTATGAACCTGCAGTTCAAGGTCTGTTTGTTCAGCAGCACTTGCTAAGACCTTACTATTAAGTGTACAAGTCCTGCTCTGACTTACCTTTTCAAAATGCAGCACCTCATGTTTATCTAAATTAAATTCCATTGACCACTCCTTGGCCCATCTGATCATAGTCCCGTTGTACTGAGATAACATTCTTGGCTGTCCACTACACCATCAATTTTGGTGTCATCTGCAAACTTATTAACCATACCTCCTATTTTCACATCCAGATCATTTACATAAATCACACAAAGCAGCGGACCTATCACCGATCCTTATGCAGCACGACTTAAATTTGTTTTCTTCAAATTAGCATGATAGCCTGGTATGCAAATTTCATAGGATCCTTAGAGTTTATTAAACCATTTTCTATTAGGTTAATGATGTACTTGGAAACTTATTTCACTACGAGTATATTCAAATTGTTCCAAATGATATGTTGCTTTATATCCCAGATATCTGAATCAGCTACATTATGCATGAAGCTGACATTAGTATAGTTTGGAGAGATTGGGTGAACCATACTATGCACTCCTATCTGAGCTGAGCCCGTTTTGGTTCAGCAGCTTATCTGCAAAGCTGTTCTTTTGCTGGGTCTGTAAAGTGAACTTCGAGGGCAGTAAGGCAACAAGGTCTCTCTTTCGTTTTATGTTCTGTGAATCGGAATCATAAATGTTTTACTCTGCTCAATAGAACAGCTATTTTTAACAAAAATTCTCATGTTGTAACTGCTTCTCAAAAACTTCAGTTTTGTGGTGTTTTACAAAATTACAAGGAATATAACTGCATTGATTTAATTTTTCTTCCCTTTAACCAGAGGTGTTGGGGCAATGGAGATTGTTGCTATGGATATGAAGCTAAGAGGAATGTATATAGCAAGACAGCTGAGCTTTTCTGGAGTAACCTTCAAAATTGAAGAAGTTCCCCTCAGTCAAGATTATATCAAGATGTATAATAAAGCAGTTAAACTGGTAGGTCTTTGATTAAGCTTCAGACTTTTCATTGGATGTATGTAAACTTTGGAATTGAACCAACATCTTTTGTGCATCTAAGGTTTTTTAGCAGATGTGAGGAAAATATACTATTGGACAACCAAAATCCATTTCCATCGTACTTGGTTTGTGCGTGGTGGCTCCCAGTGATCAAAATAATTTTTTTTGAGGGCTGTTTGTGAAATTTGCTCAGATTATTTTTTTGCTATCTTAAACTACTTTTTTGGTTTATAGGGGCTTCTTTTTCCACTCATTATGAAGGCCTTTATTGGGGATGCAGACATGTTGCAGTACTAACTTCTGTTTTTGTGATAATTTTTTTTTTTAGACACTTTGTTTAGATAAATGTACAAACACCAAAGATTGTATATGTATTAATCTTCAATTTGATGTTTTTAAATAAGAGATTTTTAATTTGTGAAATAAATCTCATACACCTAATGCATTCATCAAAGTAAATGGTTAAATACATAAAGCACTATAACCATATAAAACATTAGTACTGATTTCCAGAGTTTTTATTTCTGTAACTGATCAGAGAAAAATTTGTAAATTGCTTCCTGGAAATGCTGCTTAAAATTGAAAGTATGATTGAATATCTAGGTAAACATGTCTTCATATCCTGTGCTTCTGTATGACAGATTTTACGGTCTTGGATATCCTGATCGCCTCCCATTTGTGGAAAGTTCTCTTGGCTTATTCAATATTGAGTGGTTCCTACCTTTGTCAATGATTGAAGTTCTACAGTGCATTAAGGCTGTTTTACCAGACCTTCTTCCTGGCTAACACATTAGTTATCTTTCCCTTGACCTAGCTGAAACATGGTCTCTGCTCTCTGCATACACGTATATGTCTCTGTCATACTCTCCCACTCCAGTTGACGCTAGCTTGCTGCCTGCTCTTCTCTACTACTACCACCACCACCACACCTGAGGCAGCCTTGCTAACCACTGAGCCACCATGCCACCCCAGTATAGTTTAAGCATTAAATGCCATGGATTTCACATCTTGTTGACTGGTTTCTGTACTTGGTGGTAAACCCATTGCTCCATTGTGTGAGGGAAGTGAGAAAGCAATGTTGTAGGAGTAGGTTGCTTGTAACTGTTTTTATTTTCCCCAGCAGCTTAATAATACAGCATGTCTTGTGAGCAAATTGTGCCTGAGATACCAAAATAGGAACAGATGCAGCATGTGGAAGGCAAATAAAGTGTTGACGTTTATTAAAAGGAGAATTGAATATAAAGTAGGGAAGTATTATGAAAACTTGCAGGGCCTTAAAGATCACATGAGGAGTACCATGCACAGTTTTGGTCACTCTGCCTAAGGAGGAACTGTGCATATTTGCATTGGAGGAAGTTCAGGCAGTGTTCACTTAGCTGATTCGGGATGAAAATTCCAACTTGTGATGAGTTTTCTTGGGAAGGCAAGTTAAACAAAGTGAGCCTGTACTCAACTGAACTTTAGAGAGAAGCAATCTTTTTAAAACATCTGGCATCCTCAGGCGATATCTTAAAGGGGATACTTGGATGTTTCCCCTCGTGTAGGGGGTCTGGAACTAAGGGATACATTTTAAAAATTATACTCTCCCATCTGAAACTTAGATGAGAAAGTTACTTCTTGAGGATTTTGGTCTGTAAATTTCTCTTTCCCAGAAAACAATGCAGTTGGGGTTAATGGCGGCAGATAGCTGAGGCCGCAGATAGGTAGGTTGAACGGTAGAGAACTCTTAAGGGGCCAAATATTCTAAGTCTTCTGTGAATTAGAATGGTGCTGGAGTGCAGATCAAATCAATTGGACCAGAACTGAATTAGAGTCTAATGTAATGTCTGTAATCCTTGTGAAACATGTCAAAAACTCTAACCAGTGATTGAGTTTGTTGGCGGATGATAGGAGCAAACATTTAGTTGTAACTCTTCTTGGATAATGTTTTCCAAATTTCAGGACTTTGCAAAATACATTTAGAGCTACTGAATCACACTTGAAGTGCAGACACTGTGAGAAAGTGGTAGTCATTTGATGTGCCACAAATCTCCACAAATGGCAATACGATAATGAGCTGAATTATTTTTAAATGCTGGCTGGGAACATCAGGAAAGCTTCCTGGTTTTTCTTAGTTTTATAGAATCGTTTATTGCCACCTAAGACCTGGCAGAACCTTAATTTTTCAAGCACAATGATAAAATATAACTCAGTGCAGAACTGAGTGTAAACCAAAGGTCAACCCTAAATTAATTACTTGAGACTTTCTGGTTAGTTGTTAGCTCTAGGATGATTCAGTAATGATAATGCCCTTCACTGTCATAGGTAAGCTGTTAAATTTTCTCACTGAATTCGCATTGGCCATCTACTTGCACTTGGGTGATGAGAAACTTGACATTCACTTATCCAAGTATGAATGGTACAGTTCTTGAAGTATATGGGCATGGACTGCTTCATTATCAAATAGTTATATCGTTCTAACCTTGTGTTGTAGGGACGGCCATTGAAGTAGTTGAAGACAATTGAGTTTTAAAATATTGAGCAACTTGTGCAGCTGAGTCCTTGGGTTGAGTTGGTTGACCTCCAACAACCACAACTATTTTAATTTGTGCTTGGGGTGACTCCAGCCAATGTTTTGTCTAATTGCTATTGATTTCATTTAACTAGGGCTTCTTGATGACAAGAGTTGACCACTTGCTTGCATTCTGGACCTCTCTGTTTATACTGAGTTTGTAATATGGTCTAGACTTCACTGGTCCTAGTAAAACCCAAATTGAGCATGAAGAGGTTATTGGTGAATAAATCCTGACAGGGAGGCTGAGTGATATTATCATTGGACTGTGAATCCAGAGACCCAGCTAATTTTCTGGGGACCAGGATTCGAATCCTGCAGTGGCACGTGGTGGAATTTGAATTCAGTAAAAAACTGGAATTGAGAGACTAATGATGATCATGAAACAATTGCTGGAAAAACCCATCTGGTTCACTAATGTCCTTTAGGGAAGAAAACTGCCATCCTTACCTGGTCTGGCTTATGTGACTCCAGACCAGTAGCAACATGGCTTACCCTCAACTGCCCTTTGGGCAGTTGGAGGTAGGTGATAAATGCTGGCCTGCCCAGCAACACCCTCGTCCCATGAATGAATAAAGCTGTAAACAGCAGTGTTGATGCCACATCCCAGTGTTGATCAAGAGTAGCTTGGGAAAAAAAAAGTGCTTGCCGAGGTTAGATGTATTCTGCTTTTTATAGACAGGGTGTACCTAAGTAATTTTCTGCACTGTTGGACGGGTGCTAATGTTATCCTTGAACAGCTTGAATAGGAACTTGGCATGTTCAGGATATCTTCAGTACATTAGGTGGAATGTTGTTAGGGCCGATAACTTTTAGATTTAAATTTCTCAGTAATTTGCTGAGTGTTTGAGATCAGAGTTTCCCAGTAGAGCATTCAGTGTTCCCATTCAAAATGAAAACATTTTGTAGAATTTGTTGAGCAGTTTAAAACATTTTACCATTTCAAAATATTCTCATTACTGATTATTACAGCAATTTTCTGTTCCCTGTTGAACTAACAGCGCTGAATTTTGTAAGCCACAATTTGAGCTGTTTTTGTTTTTTGCCTTTCAGTGGGTGGAGGCCAGGGAGAAATTTCAGATGTCGGCTGAGCTGATTGATGCAGAGCAACGGATGAAAAAATCCATGTGGGGACAGTTCTGGTCAGCACACCAGAGATTCTTCAAATACCTTTGCATTGCATCCAAAGTTAAAAGAATAGTACAACTGGCCCGAGAAGAGATCAAAAATGGAAAGGTAAAGGGACCTTTTGAATAACAAAGGGACTGGTGTCGAGAGTCTTCCTTATGACAGTAATTGGATCATGGAATCAGGGGCCATAAGTTTAAGTTTCTTGTTAATAAATTCTATCTGAACTTCTTTATCCAAAGAGTGGTTTGACCATGAGCCCACTACCTGACTGAGTGGTTTGAGGCAAACAGCAGAGATGCTGAGGGAAACTCTCAGCATATGCAGATGAAGGAGATGGTTGGCTGTGATCATGGGTGATCACCCAATTGGAACATCAGCGTTGACGCGGACCACTGAAGAAAGTGGTACAGAATTTCCTGGAACTATTCAGGTCAGGTGCCGTCTCAGTTTACATTCAGGTCATTGATTTTTCATTAGGACTGAGGAATGTTGGAGTTGTAATAGGATTTAATCAAATAAAGGGTAAAGAATGTGGAAAAAGTGCCAAAGGGGAAGTCTGTGATAGAATGGAAGGTGGGAGAGGTTAAATGTCAAAAATTTGGTGTGAAGCAAATGGGACAAGTGAACAAAGGATCCCTCTACAGGGTGGTGGAGTGAGCACCTTCCATCTGAAGGCAAAATGAGAAGTGAGTTCAACTAAGATCTGTTGCCATAGAGTCTAATAATGGTTTAAAAGACATTCGAGTTCCTAATTAATAATTGAACAGATGACGGAAGTGTGCACCAACTGTAAATCATCTAGGTTCCTTCAACAGCATCTTCCAAAAGTGACCTCCCCGTAGAAAAACAAAGGTAGCAGATAAATGCAAGATTCTCTCTAAACCCTGCATCATCCTGACTTGGATCTATCACTGCTTCAAAATCCTAGAACTTCCTCATTGTACTGTGATTGTGTATATCGCTCAAGGGCTGCAGCAAATCTAGGAGGCAGCTCATCACTGCTTTCTCAAGGCATTTAGTAATGAGTAATAAGTGGATTGTCTAGACAGTGATGCCCACATCCCATTTATTAATAGACACATTTATTGGTAAATGGCAAATCAAAGAAAATATTCCATACATTAGTGAACGTTAATGTTGAAAGATCACAGGTTGCTGGTGTGGACAATGAAAAAGAAATGTGCACTATTTTCAAGTGAGGCAAAAAAATTTTGGTGTCATAGAAAAGAACTTCTGCAAGTCTGGCTTGCATTATACCTGACTGCCCAGCACGCGAGTAGATCTTGCCATTCCACAGGTTTGAGATTTTGTTTTAAATAAAGCTAAATGGGAAGTTGTACAGACAACTGTTGACTAAAATGATATAACCTGTTCTAATGGTTTTATTTTGGAATTACTTGTAGTGCGTGGTTATTGGTCTGCAATCTACTGGAGAAGCAAGAACTCTTGAAGCTCTGGAGGAGGGTGGTGGTGAACTGAATGATTTTGTTTCAACTGCTAAGTAAGTTTACACAACATAACTGCCTGTAATTGTAAATTTTCCAATAATGTTTCTGAAAAGTATCAATAACTGCCAATTTTTATAAAAAATATTTCTGAAAACTATCGACTCATCTCTATAAATTAAATATGTAAATTGAAGTTAATCTGTCAGTTTAATCTTATTGTGCAACCATTTGCCACTTCAAATTTTACGTATTTGCTGTGTGTGCATCTATATGTAAATATCCAGTGCAAGGAAGAAAAATTTTGTAGGAATCCTTGACTTTTTAGTATACCTTTTAATTGCTGATGTATCTGTTTCCCTGATTTCATTAATTAGTTGAGAAATTCTTGACGACTAGATTTCAGCAGGCTATACCTACATAACTGCATGTTCTTTGTCTACTTTATGAAAGTTCTTAAGCAAGAGTGGACATAGAAATGCAATTTTAAAAGCTGCCCACAACATTTATTTTGAATAGCTTTGAATTTAAAGGTCAGTTCTTAACTTTTTTTCCACAGTCCATGTCAAACATTTGAAAATTTGATGCCCAGGCTGCTCTGCTGTGGCTAGTTAGGGCAATTAATGCTTATAGTCTTAATATTGCAAACAATTACTGCAGGTAACCTGTAGAAATGTTATTACAAAGTTTGCTATTTCCACCAACATATGAAGGAGATCCTGGGCAAAAGGAAATGTGATGCATGGGAAGGTTTGAAACATGCTGCTACTCAAGAATCAAACCACAACACCACACTAGGCCTGTCACTTGAAAGTGTGCTGTTAGAAATAAAGACCTATTTTTATGATAGCTTTCACAATTTCAGGATGTCTCCATGTCCTTTTCAGCTATTTAATTATTTTTTTTACTCGCTCCTGACATGTGAAAATCATTGCAGACAGCAGAGTACAAGGTCTGGTACTTTAGGTTCTAAACAGAAGACCTTCTGTCAAGGATTCATCCTCAGTTTCAGAGTTGAACCTGATAGTGGGTCTCCTGTTATGGCTTGAAGCGTTCAGATTTTATTTTGTATTTAAAAGCTACTCATTTTGGTGAGGATTTGTCCATGGCAGAGTAGATCTGCCATTCTGACCAATAAATATATATGATCAGCATTGAGTTTGCAGCTATTAGTAAAACATTAACCGCAGAGCCAACAATTACTTACTGATTGCTGCTGGAAAGCAATTGGGCTCTGATCCTACGACACGCCATCCTTACTTTGAGTATGTATGTAATAAAATAGAGCTGATAATGCCCATCAAACTAGTCATGACAGCCAGAATCTTAATGTCTTCAGATTGAAGAATGCAGTGCAATTGTTTACGTAATTGATTACATAAGACATTTTTGAAATAATTTCAGAGGAGTCCTTCAGTCTTTGATTGAGAAACACTTCCCAGCACCTGACAGAAAGAAGCTGTACAGTTTGTTGGGGATAGATATGACTGCGTCCAGTAATCATGACTCTCCCACTGACAGTCCATCAAGACAGAGCAAGGGAAAAAAGCGAAGAGGTACAACCTTTCTTGCTGATTGTGATGTTTGTCACTTAATACCTTGTGGCTACCAGTGGGCATGACTATGATGAACGATCATTCTGTCAAAATGCAAACTAATCTGATTTGTTGAGCTAACTTTCAATGAGAATGAATCTGAATGTATCTGTATACATTGTTACTGTATATTTGAGATTGTAAATTCTGTAAACTTTGCAGTTTTTAGTTCAGATTAACTAATATTTGCATAATTGAGTTTTGTACCCATCTAGTTAAATAATAGCAAAACCCGAAAGCCTTTTTGCATTCTGATTGTAATCTCTCATCTCCATATGACTGTAAACCCAAATAAGTGATTGGACAGCGGACAGGTCATGCTATGAAATCCAGCAATTTCCTAGCAGTCAATTGCATCAATTTGCATGAAAATGTACCAAAAAATGTATAAACTAACTGGTAAACTAGTTGTTTTTAAGATAACCGCCCTGCCTTCCTCTTTTACAAGCCCGACTTGTATATTAGTCTCTTGTATATGGATCAAGAGCGAGAAATGCTATGACAAGCCACTCCCTGGTCAGCCCTGTGCATAGATTGGTCTTTCATTCTATCCAAGTTGTCCCTTTGGTGTGTGAGCTCGTAGTGCAGATGTTTCTGTTTGACCCGATCAATTCCTTGCTCATACATTGGAAATCATTCAATCAGAATGCTCCCCATTACCTTGAGGCTATAGTACCATGCAAACAGCTGAGACAGCATCCTTTCAAAATTCCTCCATGACTTTGCCTCATCCAGCTCCTGAATTCTCCTTCAGTCTTATTCATTCTCCCTATTACCCTGCAGCTCTTCATCATAGTCTTAACCAATACACTTCTCTAGGCAGTTATGTTGCTTTCCCTCAACCCACGACAAAGTTTTTTTTTTATATAAAGGGGAACCTCTGTAACTTTTGTTTTTAAGCTAATGAGGACAAAAGGGAAGCAAAAAAACCTCGTAAGAGCAAAGGACTTGCTGGCAGCAGCTCTTCAGAGAGCGAGTCTGAAGCATCTGAAAGTGAAGGCAGCGATGAAGAAAGTTTTCTGTCTGTCAGTTCTGGCGATGATGACTTTAACCCTTTTAGAGATGAATCTTCGAATGAAGAAGATGGTAAGTCGGTGAAAATGGCAATCATTATGGAAGATATTTCCAGATGGAAGAAGTGCAAGCATGATTCAGCAAATTATCCGTTATGTAATTCACTCAGCTTAACTCAAAATGGAGTTTCTAAACATTTGGACGTCAAACAGAATTTAAATGATGTGCTATACAACTTGCATAGCATCTTCAATATATCAACATTGCAGGATGTTTCCTTGGACATGGGGCATCTTTGACTCTTAGCAGAAATTGGTCAGAGTTGGGGAGGTGATCAAAGGAGGACTGAAGGAATAAGCTTTGAGGCTTTTGATGGTGAGAAAGCTCTGTTTGGATTTAGGTGTAGGAGAGAATTCTAGAATTGGTTTCAGTGGCAGGGAAGGAGTATCACATAAGCTTCACTTAGAAAATTGGAAAATGCAGACTGATACTCCAATATAGAGGCAGTTTAGGGGTAACCTGAGGACATGGAATGATCTGTTGATGAAGACTTTTGTATTGAATTAGCGATTATTGATGCACACAGGAGGAGGAATGGCAGGGAGGGCATACAATATAATGGGAGTGATTGTGCAAGTTGCGAACTTTCAGAGGGATTAAGTGCAAAATAACAGAAATTCAACTCTTGGTCAAGTGGAGGAGTTATAGAAGTTTGGGAATCCATGTTTGAGATCAATTAGTTGTTTTCTGTAAGGCTAAGAGTATGAAAGGAGCTGGTCTGAGTCTTGGAGATTAGTTTGGTTATTTCAGACAATGCAGAATATATTCTGATGAGCAATAAGAGCTCAAGATGGGTGAGACAGTGCTGCAGCAAGAAAGTGACTCTGGGACAAAAATAATTCAATTTTCTTGCACTCAATAGGGGATGAAAGGAATGGGGTGTGGGTTTGAAAGGACGTTCAGAAGAATTTTCAGTTGTATCATGAATAAGTTGTGTTGAGTATGCTGAGGAGGATTGTGCCATGATGGATAGAAGATCACTGTGGGAGCTGGAAGCAAGGTGTGCCGCTCAGAGTCCTAAGAAACTTTTCTGGATTGGAGGGGAAGAGTGTAAAGTGTTATCAGTGAGAATATGTATTTCTTTGTCTCAATTTTTGGTTGCATGCCATTGGTATATGTGAGGAGTTGTATAATGAGGTTACTGAATAATTACCAAAGCTGTGAACTAGTTCGTTATGCAACTGCAATATTTCTGCGCCATTTGGGTGGTTCATCCTCCTTCAGTTTTGATGAATGTTCAATTTCTGTTTTCTGCTGTTTCGAACAGATCCTTGGTTAGTGAGGAAGGATCGCAAGAAAGACAAAGACAAGAAGAAGAAAAAGAAAAGTATTGATCCCGATTCTATCCAAAGTGCCTTACTAGCATCTGGCCTTGGATCAAAAAAACCTAGTTTCTCCACCACCACAATCAGTAGTAGCACAACGAACAATGCAATTCCTTCAGGTACTAATAGTGGAAACATAAAAAGCTTCAGGCAGTTATAGGTAGAAATTTAACTCTGCTTTGGAGCAATGTTCATTTCATAGAAACAAACCTGCATTAATGTCTGAACCATATATTGACATTCTAGCATAGATTTAAAAATCTTTTGAAAATTCTCAAGTCTTTTCCTATTAACGTGATTTAATTTTTTTCTTCCCTGTCTTCTCCAAATAAAACCTATAGGTAACAGCAGCCATAGTATTGTAGCTA